ATTTACCCCCAACCCCGGGGGCCCCCCCCCCCCCTTTAAGCCAAAGGAGAAAAAAAAAAAAAAAAAAAAAAAAAAAAAAAGGATGGTAGCGCCTCCTTGCACGCACGTCCACGAAAGCAGCTGCCGGCTGCTATTAGGCTGTAACTTTACAAGTAATGTGTGTTTTAAGCACCTGTCATCCACTCTACATCCCACTGCGTCTGTCTGTCTCTCTCTGTGTGTGGATATGAATGGAGGAGGGAGCAGGAAATAGGCTGCAGAGGGGAACCCGTGAGTGTTCACATGATCAGAAGGAGCAAGGCTTTAGGAAAATTCAAATACTCTGGATGAATTTGTAATAAAATCAAATAACTGTAGGCAGGAATAAACCTGCATTGTCGCATATTCAACTTAACTCAATGTTATAATTTCGCTCCCCCTAATCCCCTCCCAAAAAGTAAATAAATAAATAAAAAATAAAATAAAAAAAAAAAAAAATCAGTAGCATGATGTGATTTTCTTTTATGTCTGGTTTGGAAGTTGTATATATTTTTTTTTTTTTTTAAATACGCACACAAACAAAAAATCTTTTTTTTGCTTGTTTTTTCAATATTTCCGGATAAATGGTGATGGACGAACTTATCTGTTCAGCTGCTGTGGAATAGCGTCATTTTGTTAAGTTTTTATGTGAGGTTAAAAAAAAACAGGAAACGACATGACCAAGTTGATTTGAAAATTAAAAATTAAAAAAAAAAATATTTGAAAAGTCGCGTTTTAAGTTTTATACGATGAGATAAAAAGCGATTAAATTGACGAAGAGCAGAATCAGGAACCCCTGTCCAGCATTCAAACCAAACACACTCACATGACGCAGGGACACAACCAAAAAGCAATACTAGGGGGCGAAAAGATGTGGGGGCCACCATTAGCCAAAAAACGATTGTAACAGAGTTTCAGAAGTTTTATTATGAATTTTGCTGTTAAAGTAGTTCAAAATGTGGGATTTTTTCCCCCCATACCTTCCATGTTACCAAAAACCGTCTGATATGACATCTTAGCTGCCATTATCTTCCTCATCATCATTTCCACCACACACTTAAATTAAGGTAAATGATTTTAAAAAAATACAATTTATTTCGTAATTAGTATATGTACTGTAAATAATTGTTGTTGTCTTGAAAATTAAAGGCTGCATTTACAACGACTTGACTGTCGAAGCAACATACTGTCACTCTAAAGTTTAAGGCTTTTACAGTGAATCTGCCCTATTATCAGCAATTATGCACTGCATAATCTGTTAATATCTTTTTGCTGTAGATTTATTGTGTATTTTAAATTCTGAGATAGTAATTTAAATTACAATATTAATAATTGACAGATAAAAATATGTTGCCAGTACCTAGTATTTGAAGATGTGGGTTGATGTTCTTAAATATATATTCAATTAAATGCCTTTTACTGCAGCCACTTGTAATATTTTTACATTTCCAAAGCAATTTTTGGAATAAAAGCGTCAGACTGTACAGCAGAACCTACAGTAATCATTTGATACAGTAAACAGTCAAGTTTTTATTTTATTTTGACAGCAGGTCTGTAAAATGTTTTATTATTGCTTGTTGTAAAGTAGTTATGCTGTATTTTAAGTTAATAATTACCTCATACTGTAATACTAATAAGACGGGAGCTAAAGGATAATTGCTGACATTGTGTTACTTTTTCTTGATCATTTAACAATTTATAATTTTCTTATATAACAAAAAAAAAAAAATCTTACTTCTTTGGATCTACACATAACTTAGTGTCCATAGTTCAAACACACGTTTTTGACCTAAGTCTCTCATCATTTAAAAGTGTAGTGCTGGTTGAGGTCGCGACAGAGTTGAAATTGAACACCAGGTATGAATAAATAAAGGATAAATTGGCAAATAAATAAATGTAACCCATCAAAGTTTGTATTTTCCTCTCGTAAATTTATCAAAAGTAGATATTCATTAAAAGAAATGGCATATATACAAAATTGTCTGAACAGGCTGCGGATGAATATCCAGGGTGATCATTGCGCCCCCTGCTTTTGAATTTGCATGTCTAAACGTTTGGCTTTCTAAGGACGTCTGTTTTCTGGAGGTTTGGAGGTTTAAGCATTTTTTTTTTTTTTTTTTTTTTTTTTTTTTTTTAAAAAAAAAGTTAAAAAAAAAAATTCTAAAACCCCCAAACCCCCAAAATAAGAAGGNGGGAGGATTTCTTTTTTTTTTCTTGCCCGTACCCCAAAAAAAAAAAAAAAAAAAGATATGGCAAACAACTACGAGCTAATAGGGCAGAACTCATGGAAAGGTGGGCATCACACATCAACCAGACCCGTAATTGGGGGCCACAGCAGAAGAGAAAAAGTGAAGAAGCGTCCTGGGGAGATCCGGATTCACTCTCAGATCAGACCAACAACTAAAAAAAAAAAAAGAAAGAAAGGAAGAAAGAAAAAACAAAAAGGCTGCATAGTGCGTTTTGCTGTGTCTTGACTGATTTCGGCTGACAGACGCTGATTTTATTATACGGGACTCCATCATTTGTTCTTCTGCTCACTTATTAGCGCAGAACCAAAAAACTAACGAGGTGTTACTCGCTGCAACGTCACTTTTATTTACATTCCCGGCTGACGTGAGAACTTGTGACACGCGAGCTGGTACAACCTAAAGGAGAGGGAAGGAAAAGGTGCTGCTTCTGCAGGCTGCAAGTGGGGATGCTGCAGGGGTTTTTAACACCCAGGCTGAGAACTTATTTAGAGCTCACGGGCTATTAGCGGGGATATTTGTTTAATAAGATAAGGATATGGTTTGCAAGTCTCTCTCTCTCTCTCTCTCTCTCTCTCTCTCTCTCTCTCTCTTTCTTTCTCTTTTCATGCAGACACCCGAACAGTTAAGCGAGAAAACACACACGCATTATTCTCACCTTGGCACCATCACTATGACAAATTAGCCCATGCAACAAACGCTTTATTGCATATATAGTGTATTGTTTGAGGCAATAAATCCCGTAAGTCAAACGCTTTGCAAGTTGGGACACCTGCTCCTTCTGTTAATGTGCAGAATTTTAAATTATTAGTATTATTATTTTTTTGCAGTACCACTTGCCGTAGTAATAATATCACTACACCGCAAGTTTGCTCAAAGCGATAATAAATCATTGATTCTCCTTCCCTTTCCTTCATTCTAAGCTTTCCTTTCCGATCCGTCCCCTACCATTAAAATAAAACACCCTTCACTTCAGCTTTGCTCGCAACGCTTCAGAAATGTAAGAAAATTGTGCCATCTACCCGCTGCGCCTGGAACTGTAGCTTATATCCCAAGACCTCGGAGACCTCAGCTCACTTCTAACGCAGATGGATGAAAAAAAAAAAAAAAAAAAAAAAGAGGGGGCGGCCCCCTTGCCCCCACGGCCCCCAAAGCAGCCCC